ATTGAAGTTCATTTTATATTGAATTGATAATTAAAAAATCAATAAATAAAATATCCACAAATTGAACTCAAAATCCATATCATCATGGTTCTTCGCAAATATGTCACTATTTGATATCTGCAACAAAAGTTTAAAATTTTATCAAGAAAATAAAAAAAAAATTATAGGATAACCCATTGGGTATTATTGATAAGTCTATAAATCAATCAGAGAAAGAGAAACCTTGTTGAAATATGTGAACTTTTAAGCAAGAGAGTTGCAGAGCCAAAGGAAAAAACTGATTTTGGTCGTTGAGAAGAGAAAAAGAATTATTTTTATTTTTATTATTTTAGAAATAAAAAAAATTAAGAATGTTAAGAAGAGAACTTACAAAGAAGGCAACAACAACTCCAACAATATAATATGAAGGCAACTCCAACAACTCCAACAATTGAAACATTGAAGAAGTCATGAAGATAAAGGTCATGTGACACAAATCCGTTTGCTGCAATTAGAATTACCCACCACTTGTAGCAAAAAAAGTATTTGATGATAGCATCATAAAGAAAGACGATAATTGTAAAACCCACAAATCAAACAATAAAATCAATCCAAAAATCAACAAAAAGAGATAGAACAAATACAATTAAAACTACATATCAATATTTGTTTTCCTTTATCATCACTAAAATTGAATTTATTTTATGTATGTGATGATAAAATTAATGGTTCGGTAGCAGGTCTATAGTTATCCAAATTCATCATATAATATATCAAATTAAAGCCTTGTCTTTCTAGTTTCCAAATATTCAAATCGCTCATCAATGGGATTTTTATTCAGCAAGTTATGACTAATTTACTACTGACTATTTAGTGGAAATCAAGAAACACGGGAAATTGAAATGTGTGTGATGATAAAAGGAATGGTTCAACAGTGGGGTTACAATTATCCAAATTAAGCGTATAACATATCAAATTAAAGCCCTGTTTGTCTAGTTTTTAAAGATTTAAACCTCTCATCAATTGGATTTTTATTAAGCAAGTTATGGTCAATTTACTACTGACTATTCAGTAGAAAATGAAATATGTATGATGATAAAAAAAAAAATGGTTTGGAAGTGGAGCTACAGTTATATAAATTAAAGTCTTATCTGTATAGTTTCTAAAGATTCAAACCTCTCATCAATTGGATTTTTATTGAGAAAGTTATGATTAATTTACTACTAATTGTTTAGTGGAAACCGAAATGTGTGTGATGATAAAAGAAATTATTCGACAGTGAGGCTACAGTTATCCAAATTAAGTGTATAATATATCAAATTAAAACCCTATCTGTCTAGTTTTTAAAGATTCAAACCTCTCATCATTTGGAGTTTTATTTGGTAATTTATGGTCAATTTACTACTGATTATTCAATAGAAACCTAAATATGTGTGATGATAAAATGAATAGTTTACTAAAGTTATATGGTTCAGTATCAAACATCAGTTGATATTTGTTAAATAAATGAAATTAATTATATTTAGCAACAATCTCTTTTCATGATATATGTATGTAACATAAAAAGATATCAACAAAAAAATATAGAACAATTACAATTAAAACTACATATTAATATTTGTTTTCTTTTAAGGATAATAATCATGGTTTGACATATTACAAATGGTTTACAAAAGCTATATGGTTTGACAACAAACATCAGATGATATTTGTGATACAAATAAAATTGGTTATATTCAGCAACAACCTATTTTCAATATATGTATGTAACATAAAAAAAAAAAATATATCAACAGAAAGAGATAGAAAAAAATACAATTAAAACTATATATCAATATTTGTTTTCCTTTGTCATCACTAAAATTGAATTGGTTCTATGTGTGTGATGATAAAATGAATAGTTCAGCTGTAGGTCTATAGTTATCCAAATTTATCGTATAATGTATCAAAATAAAGCTTCATCTTTCTAGTTTTTAAAGATTCAAACCACTCATCAATTAGATTTTTATTGAGTAAGTTATGACCAATTCACTACTAATTGTTTAGTGGAAATTGAGAAATAAGGGAAACCGAAATGTGTGTGAAACAAAAAGAGTGGTTCAGAAGTAGGGCTACATTTATCTAAATTAAGTGTATAATATATCAAATTAAAGCTCTATTTGTCTAGTTTCTAAAGATTTAAACCTCTCATCAATTGAAGTATTGAGAAAGTTATGGTCAATTTACTACTAACTATTCAGTGAAAACCGAAATGTGTGATGATAAAAGAAATGGTTCGGAAGTGGGGCTACAGTTATCCAAATTAAGCGTATAATATACTAAAATAAATACTATATGCTTAGTTTCTAATATTCAAACCTCTTATCAATTGGAGTTTTATTAAGTAAGTTATGATCAATTTACTATTAATTGTTTAGTGGAAGTCAAAATGTGTATGATGATAAAAAGAATAGTTTGGCAGTGGGGTTACAGTTATCTAAAATAAGTGTATAATATATCAAATTAAATCCTATCTTTCTAGTTTCCAAATATTCAAACCGTTCATTAATTGAATTTTTATTGAACAAGTTATAGCTAATTTACTACTGACTATTTAGTGGAAAATTGAGAAACTGGGGAAACCAAATATGTGTGATAATAAAAGGAATGGTTCGGTATTGGGGCTACAATTATCCAAATTAAGCATATAATATATCGAATAATTAGTGTAATAAATAGCAACTAAATAAACGTTAAATCAATCAGTAATAAATTGAACATAACTTGCTCAATATTATTAACCAATTCAAATTTTAAATGAATTAAAATTTGAATTGCTTTAATAGTCACATAATCTGATAGCATATCTGATTAATAATGTGTTGAATATGTCTTCTAAAGATTTAAAGCTCTCATCAATTGAAGTTTTATTAAGCAAGTTCTAGCCAATTTACTATTGATTGTTCAATAAAAACTTAAATGTGTGTGATGATAAAATGAATGGTTTACTAAAGCTACTTGGTTCGACATCAAACATCAGTTGATATTTATTAAATAAATAAAATTAGTTATATTCAACAACAACCTCTTTTCATGATATATGTATGTAATATAAAAAGATATCAACAAAAAAAGATTGAACAATTACAATTAAAACTACATATCAATATTTGGTTTCCTTTAAGGATAATAATAATAGTTCGGCATATTATAAATAGTTTACTAAAGCTACATGGTTCGGCAACAAACATCAAATTACATTTGTGATATAAATAAAATTGGTTATATTCAGTAACAACCTATTTTTTGTATATGTATATAACATAAAAAAATATCAACAAAAATAGATAGAACATTAAACATATACAATTAAAACTACATATCAATATTTGTTTTCCTTTGTTATCACTAAAATTGAATTGGTTTTATATATGTGATGATAAAATTAATGGTTCAATATTAGATCTATAGCTATCCAAATTCATTGTATAATATATCAAATTAAAGCTCCACATTTCTAGTTTCCAAAGATTTAAACCACTTATTAATTAGATTTTAATTGAGCAAGTTATGACGAATTTATTACTAACTATTCAGTAGAAATCGAAAAATAGGGGAAATCAAAATGTGTGTGATGATAAAAGAAATAGTTCAGAAGTAGGGCTAAATTTATCCAAATTAATCATATAATATATCAAATTAAAGCTCTATCTGTCTAGCTTTTAAAGATTCAAACCTCTCATTAATTGGATTTTTATTGAGCAAGTTACGGTCAATTTACTACTGACTGTTCAGTGGAAACCGAAATGTATGATGATAAAAGGAATGGTTTAGCTGTGAAGTTATGGTTATCTAAATTAAGCGTATAATATATAAAATTAAATTCACGTCTGTCTAGTTTCTAAATATTTAAACCTCTCATCAATTGGTTTTTTATTGAGCAAGTTATGGTCAATTTACTACTGACTATTCAATGAAAATTGAAATGTGTGTGATGATAAAAGGATGGTTCAGCAGTGGGGCTACAATTATCAAAATTAAGCGTTTAATATATCAAATTAAAGCTCTTTTTTTTTTTTTTTTATAGTTTTCAAAGATTCAAACCGCTCTTCAATTAGATTTTTATTGAGAAAGTTATAGCTAATTTACTACTGACTGTTCAGTGAAAATCAAGAAAGAGGGTAAACCGAAATGTGGGTAATGATAAAAGAAATGGTTCGAATGTGGGGCTACAATTATCTAAATTAAGCGTATAATATATTAATTTAAAGCTCCGTCTGTCTAGTTTCTAAATATTCAAACTTCTCATCAATTGGATGCTTATTGAGCAGGTTATGATCAATTTACTACTGACTGTTCAATAAAAGCGGAAATGTATATGATAATAAAATGAATGGTTCGACAGTGGGGCTACAGTTATCCAAATTAAGCGTATAATATATCAAATTAAAATTCCGTCTATTTAGTTTTCAAAAATTCAAACTACTCATCAATCAGTAATATTAATTTACTACTGACTATCAATTAATATTTTATGGTATTAATTGACTGTTAATACATTCTTTGAGCAATTCACCGAAAAAAATGGTTGGTGAATGATCAATTATTAGCAAGTTCGAAATTAACTTACAGTAAATAGTCATTAATATTATGTGACAATTCTTTTTGTTGTTGGGAATACTTCTGCACTACTTTAGCGGCTGTATTATCAAGAATTATCAGCATGTAAAATTGCTCTCTTATTTATTAAATTAAGATGTACGTGACTTTATGTAGACTAATGGTTAGCAAATAATTAATTTCTAAAACTATTCTTGATTTATTTATATAATATAACACTCCTTAATTAAAAATATAATTACATTATACATGAGAGTAGATTATGTCTCTAATGCAAGGTATAAATCACATTTAAATATAGAGTTTACATTCCATTATAATGATTAATTTGATGGTCCCATAAAATTGTTATCCTTACATAAAAGCAAAATCAAATCCTTCCATCCATACAGTAGGAATAAGAGAATTTCATTTAAGTGGATTTGAGTAAGAAACAACAGCTCCAGCATCCATTCTAGCGCAATATCATTGATCAGAGAAAGCAAATTACATATAAACCAATGGGTTACAAAATTTATTACGACAGACTTGAATAAATGTTGTTGTTACTGTATATTTAACAAACTAAGTGAGCATCAACAAGAGATCAGAATTTCAATAACTTGTATACCGACTACCCATCAAGAAATTATATATATATATATATGTAAGTGAAAGAAGGAAGCATAGACTCCATCAGCTCAATTCATTTATAGCCAACTCTCAGGCTGCCACAACTGTTTGTTCTCAGATGCTAACCCTGAAACCAAAGACAAGGTTCAGCTTGCATTCATCATACTTCAACGATTAAAACAAAAAGTAATCATTAAATGATCACATTGTCATTTCAAAATTGACTGGCATCATCTTTAACTACCATCCACATAAAATCTATCAATTTCACACAGTAAACAGATTAAAAATTCTAAATCTGCTGAGTGTGATGGTGTTTGCCCTGTTCCCAGATAATTAAGGAAGAAAGATCATCAATTTTGATACACATGTAATTCCCTATAAAGATGCAGGTCATATACAAATAAATGGAACACATATCAAGACTCACTCCATTTGCTAATCGCTTTCCAGCTCCATCAACCCCAGAGAAGGTTTTGGTGTAAGTGTTACATGAACTTGCTGCAGATGCATGTTATAAAACTTCACAGTAACCAGCAACATAATAAGAAGCCAAAACCACCATAGCAAAAATTGCTACTATAATCATTTCTAGCACTTTGGTCTAACTATTTTGTGTCATCAACACATTTCTAACCTTTTCATGGTTCAGAACAAACCACATCTTTCTGCCAAAATATCAGATATTGCTCATTCAGAATGAGACCATTCTTACTTGTGGGATATCAAGCAACTCATGGAAGTCAATAGCTGCATTGTTAACAAAACCAAGTTCATTAGATTGACTTTGTCTCACAATGTATGATCAGTTTGAATTGTTTTTATTTTCTCATCTAGTTCAGATTCTTACCAGCTTTATGAGATGTTGTGCAGGATCTCCTTTGGGAAATGCAGCAATGAATAACTCAACTTCGGATACAGCTTCTTCGTAGGTGAAGTATTGATAGAGTCCATCTGAAGACAATATCAAGAACTTGTCCATTGGGCTGACTTGATGATGATAGAGCGAAGGCAAACAGGTGATCGATGGAGAAGTACCGATGTAATTGATTCTAAACATCTCAAGAAGTGCATCATTCCACTTTGGCTGCCATGAAAAACCAAAGAATTAGACTTCTACAATCTCAATTGGTCATTAATATCATATCAGTATTTGAACAATTAGGCCTTGTATGAAGTTCAAACCATAAAGATTGGTGCCTAGTTGTGGAAGCAATTGGAATCAAAAAGGCAATGAACAGCGATTTTTCAATAAGTTATAAAATTTGAAGGGTGAACCTCCAATTTGAAGATTCTTGATCTCTCGGTTACCAGTTGACCTTGGACAGATTGGAGTTCCTGCAAGCGAACAGCGGAGTGGATGATGAATATTTCAGATGATAAACACTCAAACTTTACTAATAATATTCATCTACTTAGTAAACAAAAAGTAATTGTGTCATCAAGAGCAGACCTTGGACAATTCACCATGAGTACTGTTAACTTCATCGACCTTTTCTCTGAGCCTAGAATTTTTCTCTGGCTTCTGCTAGAGACAATTCCGAAACTCTTTTCTCTTCTTTGATTGTCTCAATATCAACTGTAACATCTTGCTCAGAAAGATAGTTCCCATTTCATTAGAGTTCAAGATTCAGACTTGGCCAAGGCATAAAACTTACTGGTTTGCATCCCATAACTTAAGTATTGACCCATCAGCAGTTGTGATATAACGACCATCTTGAATCACTTCAGCACTGGTCACAGATGACTTGGGCTCGAGTGTTTGGACTATCTTACCACTTCCAACATCCCATAACCTGTACAACCACTAATAATTTTAGTAATGATTAGAAAAAATAGAAAATCCCATCCAGCCCAATAAATATTTTCAACTTCAACTTTAGGAGAAAACATGTATAAAATATTATAATCTAATATAATTGAATAGCTAGCCCAACAATTTTCCTATCAAGTAACAGCAATTAATCAAACATCAGGAGAATATATGAAGCAATTAACATTTTTTTTAAATCTCTCTTTCCTTGAGCCAAAAGAATACTAAAATCCCTACGACCTCAAATTTTAACCTCATTTTCTAAGATTTGATCCCCAAACCTCTGCAAATGCAATGCAGTTTGGTAAGTGGACCCATGTCTTTAGCTTATTCTATCTACAGCTTTGCATTAGTTTATACTTAGAAGAGCACCAAGAAATTTCATGATAAAGTATCACATTACGGTTATTGAAAGGAATCAAAACAAAAAAAAACCAAGATATCAAACAAATTTACTTTCCATGTAACAACATACATATGATGCAGGAGAAACAGGCATACCTGACACCGCCCATGTCAGAGCAAGAGCTTAACATTATTCGATCACTATGGAGCCATGCAATAGTTCTGACTGAACCAGGAGATCTATCCACTTCTCTTGGGGGTGCATCTGGACGATTTAAATCAAGAATATGAAAAATTTTCTCCAGTCCCCCAGTCAGTAGAAGATGAGTATCCTGCGTACAGATTGAAAAAAAAATCAAATGTGATGCATCATGAGCCTAATTATGTGTTCATAAATACTAATCCACCAAAATCCCCAAAATGATTAAGATACATAGAACTACCATAACAAACAGTGAAGATACTAAATTCACAGACCAACTGAAATTATTAGATTAACACTAATCATAAAGGGAAAAAAAAAAATTAACCATAACACAACAATTCAGCACATACATCTTCATGAACTTGAGCTTAGCTTTAAGCCAGAAACATATGGTACAACTTGACAACAAATAGAAACGACTAAAGGCTTTCAGAATAATCCTATGTCATATAAAAGAAAAAGAAAATAGGAAAAAAGTATTAGCTCTGAAAAAGCACAGATACAAATAGTTATATAATACAGCATACCTCATTATTATATTTCCCGTTGTAGCCACCAAATGCAATCAGATGCTTCACTCCATCAAATACTGCTGTGCTTACACTGAGCCCCTGCTTATAATTTTATGTTAAGAAATCATGCGGCATGGAAGTGAAGTTAAAAATTCCAACAAAAAATTTACAGTATATGTTATACTGAATATAATTCAAGGAATCTCAGAATATATATTCAGGCCCAGAGATCAGTAACTGCTGCACGCTTTAATCACAAACAAGTATGTAAAATTATCAGCTCTAAACCCTTGAATTTCCATTCTACGATAAAACTCCATAGCTTTTTCAAACAATCCATTATTTGTAAACCCTCTTATCATCCCTATCATTCATTACTGCAAAATCATCATCTACATGTTCTTTCTTAATTCTAGACACTTCCTAAAATATCAAAATGCCATTTTAGGTCATTTGAAACTAAATAAACATCTCAGTTACCTTCAAAATAATTAAATTCAGACATTAAGCATACAAAAATAAAATAAAAATAAAAACTAATGTTTGAAATACCTAGAACCCAAAAGGTAAAAAAAAAAAAAAAAAAAAAAAAAAAAAAAAAAAAAAAAAAAAAAAAAAAAAAAAAAAAAATTCAAAAATCTAAGAGCAACCCATCAAAGAAAACAACTAATACTAAATCCAAAAATTTAAAAATATTCATCGGTTCCGTGTTTCTACTCTGAAAACAATTAATAGTCAATACTAACAAGGCTCAATCACAAAAAACACAAACCCAGAAACAAAAATCAGTCAAAATCATAAAAACACAACTGGGTTCTCTTAATTCTAACACGAATCAGAGATGGATCTATAAAAAATGCAACAATTCGGATAAAAGACACTCGTAAAATTGACCTGGATTTCAGCAGTCAGAGAAGGAGTGTTAAGGTTGTCAGAAAGAGAAGCGATGTCGCACATTAAGGCGACAATGGTGACGGCGAAAGTTAACAGAGCGTTGGCTCTGTACCCAAATGAATGCATTTTTTCGGTATATAGTTTTTGCTGCAGCTCCTTTCGATGAATATGTATGTTACTATGTTTTGATTAGACTTTTCGATAACCAATGCAGCAATTAATAACTTTCGGATGAATGAATATTAATGTTTTGATTACACCATCCGATATCCAATGTAGCAACAGTAATACTAAATCAAAATTCTCTATTACAAATTTTTTCTCAACTCTATAGGTAATTTCTAATTAATCAACTCATGTGAAATCCGTTATAAACTTTGTCACATTAAAGTTATGAAAAAAAATTTATAAGAAATAATTGTTTATATAGTATTATTCAATGAAGCAATTAATAACTTTTGGCTAAATCTTTGTATCTAACATTTGCAATAACAACCCAACAATCAATATCTCACAAATTTATGTTTGTGTTTAGACATTAGAGTGTAAATCCAATGCTTATAATTATTATGAGTAGTGCTATTTGGATCAATTGATTGAGATTAAAAACTTTTCTGGGAAGATAAATTTACAAATTTATCCTTTAGTGAAATAAAATTATTTTTTACTCCTAAATCTTGCTTTTTGGAGGGAAAACAATTTAAGGATGAGAGAGAAATAATTATTATTTCAATATCTCCAAGAATAAAAGTTGGAAAGTATAAATTAATTTATAGTAATAATTAAGGATATGTTTAGTTTATTATTTTGAATATGATTTTTGATATTTTTAGAGTTAGTGTGAATAAAGAGGTAAGATTTAAAAATTAACAAAACACTTCCTAAGTTTGTTAAATAACTAAACATCCTTGTAATAAAAACATTAAAATTACAAAAACACTCCCACTCACCCATAAAATTCTGGCAATTGACCATCACCGCCAAAGGGTGGCCAAAGTCGTCATATCGACGCCTAATCAGCTGAATCTGGCCGGAAAAGATCAGATTTGGCCATGTTTGGTCGTAAATGACGACCAAAGATATGGTCGTTGTTGATGGTTAACAACGGTAGTTACAGCTAAAGATATAGTCGTCGTTGATGGTCAACAATGGTAGTTACAGCTAAAGATTTGGCCGTCAACGGCCAAATCTTTGGCAATGGATCTAGCATTTTCCGGCCAGATTCACGGTTGATCTAATCGAAAAATGATAGATCGGCGCACTACCGGCAAGATCCAATCGGTAGTACGCCATTATACCAGATTCCAGCCACCTTCCAGCAGTGGCCATTGGAATCCGGTAAATGTGGGTGGGTAAGAGTGTTTTTTAGCGTGTTTAATTAAATTAATAAACTTAAGGGGTCTAAAAATAATTAAATAAAATATAATAGTATTTCCTAAATAACGAAACAAACAATTATTTTAAGAATATGATTGAGAATATGATAGAAAATAATTAACCAAACAGACCCTAATTTATTAGAAAGTTGGAAAGTATGAATTAATTTATTATAATAATTAAATTTCTTTAAAAAACAAAAAAACAAAACAAAACATGTAAAGGTAACTGTTTGCAAGTGTAATCCTTTTTGCAAGTACAAGCTTTTTTCTTGTGTGATACCTTCATCACCCAAAGTTGAAGTGTGATCCTTACTGCAAGTGTAAGAAAAGTTTGCAACACATTTTCATACAAAAGGTACACCTTTTTCATACAAAGGTACAAAGTGTGTTGAGTTAGCGTGGACGTTTAGCCAAGTTTACTTACTGACTAAAGTGTTTATTTGAGAAGCATTGTTTTGTCAATTATAATTGTTGCCATGAGTCAAATTTAACATTCATTTTTGTTTTATCTATATCACCCTTTTAAGTTCGGAGTCCAGACACTAAAAGCATATAATTATAATTGAAATAACAGTTAGATTAAAGTAAAAAATTTGATTCTATAAACATTAACTTTTGAATTTACTGTATAGACTTGACCGCATTAACTTTAAGTTTTACAGTGAAATCATATAATATATTGTTTTAAATTTCAAGTCTGGGCAATTAACTTTTGGTACACACTGAAATTTTATAATATTTTATTTTAAATTTTATGTCCTGCAATTGATTTGAAATGACAATTAGATTCAAGTAAAAATTTTAATTATTTAAAAAAAGAATATTATAGAAACCATGGCTGATCACCACGAACTATGCATCTCAGACTCAGAGCAACTGCTTTTTGGGTAATGAAAAATAGACTTTATTTGAAATTGAATTTTTATCACCAATATCTTCATTATAATTGTTGGTATAAGTCAACTTTATAATAACTCTTAACATATAATTAAATTAAAATATTAGTAACAAACCCAATGTATTGAAAATATGTCATTGGAATTTGATTTTCACTTAATGATGAGAGAGAAAATTAAATGAAATTTGAAATTCAAATTTTAATCATGCAAGGACAAATAGGTCTTTTTATATATGAATCGTCTTATAAAAAGTCAAATATATCCTTATTTTATCCAGATCAATTGATCCAACAAACATTTTTGTATTATTATTAATACACATTCAATTTATTAAATGGTTATTAATAACAATTCTAGACAGATGTCATTAAATCCCAATTAGTAATAGCAATCCAATATACCTATGTTATGCGATCAATCCGGAGAAGATAATTCCCTATTAGGAGAGAAGATATTTAGATTGGCTCAATTTGGAAGAAAGATATTCATATTGACTTAGATTCCAACTAAGGTAGCCAAAGATCATGCAACTTCATAATCCTACGTATTTGAATCTTAACTCTATCATGTAAATGGGTATTATATAAACTCATCATAACTTGTTTTCGGGGGGGCTGGGCAATTGTTCTAAGCAAATTTTCCTAGGAATTATACTGTTCTTTGTAAGCTCTCAAAAACAATAAGATAACAGTGGACGTAGGCTCAAGTTCTAACTTGCCGAACCACTTTAAAAGTTCCCTCTGCCATTTACTTTATTGCAATTATTATTCATCCACTACTGGTTATCCGTAATCACGCGCACATCAGTTTCGATCCCAACAGCGTCGATCGGATCTCGCTAATTAGTGCAGATTTCTATACCAACATTTTGGCGTGAGAGGAAGGGCCTGATTCACTCCAGCTCTCCATGTTTTTTCCAACAAGTCTCAACTTCTTCGACAAATCCCAGCTTCTTTTTCTAGAATCATGTTATCAAATGTGAAAATCTGAGTAGGATAAAGTCTGAATTTGGCTAAGCGATAAGAATTGTAGCCCTTTGAGTTAGATTTCCGATGGTCCAAGAGTCATCCAAATCCAAGGTCTACAGCTAAAGTTATCATCAAAATATTGAAGCCTGTTCCAAACTAGAGCTCTCAAATTGCATGGCTAGATCACTCAGATTGCGCTCTTAGATCATTCTGATCTTCAACTTCACATCACATAGCCAGATAGCTTAGATAGCATGCTCAGATCTCTCAGATTAGAAAGAGCTCGCTAGCTCTCTAGCTATCAAGCCTTCAAGCTCCAAAGCTATCAAGCTCTCAAGCTAGTTCTATAACTCCCAAGCTATCAAGCCAGCTCTCTAGCTCCCAAGCTCTCAAGCTATCAAGCTATCAAGCTCTCAAGCTATCGAGCTCTCAAGCTCTCACGCTCTCTAGCTCCCAGAGCGCTCAGATCATGTGTTCAACATCATTGAGATCACGCATTTAGATCATTCAGATCGCGCTTTCAAGCTTACAGATCGTGCTTTCGAGCGCTCAAATCGCTAACCCTGTGTTCTCAGATCAAGCTTCGTCTTTCTGATCGATCTTCTTGTGTTCTCATATCAAGTTTCGCTTTTTTTGATCAAACTCCATGTGTTCTCAGATCAAGCTCTGCGCTTTCTGATCGAGCTATGCTCTTATATCAAGCTCTCTAAGCTTTCTGATCGAGCAATGCTCTCATATCAAGCTCTCCATGCTTTGTGATCGAGCTATGCTCTCAGATCAAGCTCTCCATGCTTTCTGATCGAGCTATGCTCTCAGATGAAGCTCTCCATGCTTTCTGATCGAGCTATGCTCTCAGATCAAGCTTTCCAAGCTTTTTGATCGAGCAACGCTCCCAGATCAAACTCTCTATGCTTTTTGATCGAGCTATGCTCTCAGATCAAGCTTTCTAATCAAGCAATGCTCTTAGATCAAGCTCTTTATGCTTTCTGATCGAGCTACGCTCTCAGATCAAGCTCTCCATGCTTTCTGATCGAGCTATGCTCTCAGATCAAGCTCCCCATGCTTTCTAATCGAGCTATGCTCTCAGATCAAGCTCTCTATGCTTTCTAATAGAGCTATGCTCTCAGATCAAGCTCTCCATGCTTTCTAATTGAGCTATGCTCTCAGATCAAGCTCTCTTTACTTTGTGATCGAGCTATGCTCTTAAATCAAGCTCTTTGCGCTTTCTAATCAAACTCCTTGCATTCTT